GGGGTCCCTGCAGCAGTTTTGGGGTTCTTGGGGAGGTTTTAGGATGCAGGTTCCTGCAGCAGTTTTGGGGCTCCTGGGAGATTTTAGGGTGTAGGTTCCTGGAGCAGTTTTGGGGTTTTAGGGTGCAGTTTCTTGTAGCAGTTTTTGGGATCCTGTAGCTGTTTTGGGGTTCCTGGGGGGTTTAGGATGCAGTTTCCTGTAGCAGTTTTGGGATTTTAGGGTGCAGTTTCTTGTAGGAGTTTTGGGGTTCCTGGGAGGGTTTTAGGATACAGGTTCCTGGAGCAGTTTTGGGATTTTAGGGTGCAGTTTCTTGCCGCAGTTTTGGGGTCCCTGCAGCAGTTTTGGGGTTTTAGGGTGCAGGTTCCTGCAGCAGTTTTGGGGTTTTAGGGTGCAGATCCCTGCCGCAGTTTTGGGGTCCCTGCCGCAGTTTTGGGGTGCCTGCAGCAGTTTTGGGGTCCCTGCAGCAGTTTTGGGGTGCCCGGGGAGGTGTCAGGGTGCTGTCTGGTGGAGCACCCCCCTCCTTGCAGGAGGATGTGCCGTTTCCTCAGCTCGTCCCTTTTTTTGGCTCCTTCCTTTTTTTGTTTGTTGAGCACAAAGAGCTTCGGTTTCATCCTGAGCCGTGCTGCTGGGAAAGGAGAGGGGTCAGGGGATCAGGGGATCAGTTCCTGGCCCCTGTTCCCTCTGGGATCTCTGGGATCTCTGATGGGAGTTCCTGTCCCCAGTTCCCAGGGGGATCACTGGGATCATTTCTTATCCCCAATTCCCACTGGGATCAGGGGATCAGTTCCTGTCCCCAATTCCCACTGGGATCACTCGGATCAATCCTGCCCCAATGTTCTGCCCCGTTCTGCCCCTCTCTGCCCCTCTCTGCCCCTCTCTGCCCCTCTCTGCCCCTCTCTGCCCCTCTCTGCCCCTCTCTGCCCCGTTCTGCCCCGTTCTGACCCTTTCCTAAAGCCCAGGCTCCTTTGCTGCTCCCTGGCAGGGCACTGGAGGTCGAGCTGGGGGTGCTGCTCTGCCAGGCAAACTTCAAATAAATTAAATTTAATTAAATATTTTCTTAAAATTTTTAATTTATATGAATTTTAATTTTAAATTATTTTATGCTATTTAAAAATAATTGAAATTATTTTAAATTTAAATTTTTATTATTTAGTTGAAATGATTTTATGATTTAATTTAAGGGTCCCACCCCAAATCCCATTTTTTGGAGGAGTCCCACCCCAAATCCCATTTCTGGGGGGTGTCCCACCCGAAATCCCATTTTTTGGTGGGTGTCCCACCCCAAATCCCATTTTTGGGGGTGTCCCACCCCAAATCCCATTTTTTGGGGGGGATCCCACCCCAAATCCCATTTTTTGGGGGTGTCCCACCCCTCCCAGCCCTCCCTGCCCCTAACCGCCGGCAATCCCGCAGGAATGCTGCGCAAGCTGCAGATCCAGCAGGAGGAGGACCTGCAGGCCGTGGTGGAGGTGGCTGCGCACGTGTTCAGCGACGGGGTGACCAACTGGGGCCGCGTGGTGACCCTGGTGGCCTTCGGGGCCTTCGTGGCCAAGCACCTGAAGAGCATCAAGCAGGAGCAGAGCATCGGCTCGCTGGCCGGGATCATCACCGACGCCCTGGTCTCCACCAAGAGGGAGTGGCTGGAGAGCCAGGGGGGCTGGGTGAGTCACCATTCCTGGGGTTTTTTTCCCCGATGTTTCTGGGTTTTTGGCTGGTTTTGGGGTGTGTGGTTGTGTCCCGGGGGGGTTGTGGGGGTGTAGGAGCGACTCGGCGTCAGCGCTGCCTGGAGTGGTTGGGGGTAAAAAGCAGATTTTTGGGGTGTTCCTGCCCATTGTCAAAGGTAGGGCAGCCCTGGGGGGGCTGAGCTGGCCCGTGGCTGAAATGGGGCTGGGGGAGTTGGGGGGGGGCACAGTCTGACACGCTGGGCTGAAATGGGGCTGGGGGAGCACAGGGAGAACACTGGGGAGTGCAGGATGAAATGGGGCTGGGGGCTGTTTTAGCCTGAAATGGCTCTGGGGGTGTTTGAGGATGAAATGGGTCTGGGGGATCTTTGAGGCTGAAATGGGGCTGGGGGTGTTTTAGGATGAAATGGCTCTGGGGGTGTTTGAGGATGAAATGGGTCTGGGGGAACACTCTGGGGTATGCAGGATGAAATGGGTCTGGGGATATTTTAGGATAAAATGGGTCTGGGGGTGCACAGGGAGAACACTGGGGGATGTTTTAGGCTTAAATGGGTCTGGGGATGAGCAGGCTGCAATGGGTCTGGGGGCTGTTTGAGGCTGAAATGGGTCTGGGGGCTGTTTCAGCCTGAAATGGATCTGGGGATATTTTAGGATAAAATGGGTCCGGGGGAGCAGAGAGGGAGAGCAGGCTGCAATGGGTCTGGGGGCTGTTTGAGGCTGAAATGGGTCTGGGGGCTGTTTCAGCCTGAAATGGATCTGGGGATATTTTAGGATAAAATGGGTCCGGGGGAGCAGAGAGGGAGAGCAGGCTGCACTGGGTCTGGGGGCTGTTTGAGCTGCAGTGGGTCTGGGGGCTTGCCCGGCCTGCCCCGCTCTGAGGCTCGCCGCTCTCTCCCCAGGAGGGCTTTGTGGACTTTTTCCGCCTGGAGGACCTGGAGGGCAGCATCCGGAACGTTCTGATGGCCTTCGCGGGCGTGGCCGGCCTGGGCGCCAGCCTGGCCTACATGATCCGGTGAGCCCGGCCTGCCCGCGCCCCAGGGTCACACTCTGGGGGGACTGGCTCCCCGGGACCCCCAAGAACCAGACTTTGGGGGGACTGGCTCCCCAGGACCCCCAAGAACGAGATTTTGGGGGGACTGGCTCCCCAGGACCCCCAAGAACCAGACTTTGCGGGGACTGGCTCCCTGGGGCTGCCCGGGATCCGACTTTGGAAGGACTGGCTACTCCCAAGAACCAGACTTTGGGGGGACTGGCTCCCCGGGACCCCCAAGAACCAGACTTTGGAAGGACTGGCTACTCCCAAGAACCAGACTTTGGGGGGACTGGCTCCCCGGGACCCCCAAGAACCAGACTTTGGAAGGACTGGCTACTCCCAAGAACCAGACTTTGGGGGGACTGGCTCCCCGGGACCCCCAAGAACCAGACTTTGGGAGGACTGGCTCCCCGGCACTCCCAGGATCACATTTTGGAAGGACTGGCTCTTTGGGGATGCCCAAGATCACATTTCTGGAGGACTGGCTACTCCCAAGAACCAAATTTTTGGAGGACTGGCTCCTTGGCACTCCCAGGATCAGATTTTGGAAGGACTGGCTCCCTGGGGCTGCCCAGGATCAGATTTTGGAAGAACTGACTCCTTGGGGATGCCCACAACCAGATTTTGGAAGAACTGCCTTCCTGGGGCTGCCTGGGATCACATTTTGGAAGGACTGGCTCCCTGGGGCTGCCCAGGATCAGATTTTGGAAGAACTGACTCCTTGGGGATGCCCACAACCAGATTTTGGAAGAACTGCCTTCCTGGGGCTGCCTGGGATCACATTTTGGAAGGACTGGCTCCCTGGGGCTGCCCAGGATCAGATTTTGGAAGAACTGACTCCTTGGGGATGCCCACAACCAGATTTTGGAAGAACTGCCTTCCTGGGGCTGCCTGGGATCACATTTTGGAAGGACTGGCTCCCTGGGGCTGCCCAGGATCAGATTTTGGAAGAACTGACTCCTTGGGGATGCCCACAACCAGATTTTGGAAGAACTGCCTTCCTGGGGCTGCCTGGGATCACATTTTGGAAGGACTGGCTCCCTGGGGCTGCCCAGGATCAGATTTTGGAAGAACTGACTCCTTGGGGATGCCCACAACCAGATTTTGGAAGAACTGCCTTCCTGGGGCTGCCTGGGATCACATTTTGGAAGGACTGGCTCCCTGGGGCTGCCCAGGATCAGATTTTGGAAGAACTGACTCCTTGGGGATGCCCACAACCAGATTTTGGAAGAACTGCCTTCCTGGGGCTGCCTGGGATCACATTTTGGAAGGACTGGCTCCCTGGGGCTGCCCAGGATCAGATTTTGGAAGAACTGACTCCTTGGGGATGCCCACGGGGATATTTTAGGATAAAATGGGTCCGGGGGAGCAGAGAGGGAGAGCAGGCTGCAATGGGTCTGGGGGCTGTTTGAGGCTGAAATGGGTCTGGGGGCTGTTTCAGCCTGAAATGGATCTGGGGATATTTTAGGATAAAATGGGTCCGGGGGAGCAGAGAGGGAGAGCAGGCTGCAATGGGTCTGGGGGCTGTTTGAGGCTGAAATGGGTCTGGGGGCTGTTTCAGCCTGAAATGGATCTGGGGATATTTTAGGATAAAATGGGTCCGGGGGAGCAGAGAGGGAGAGCAGGCTGCAATGGGTCTGGGGGCTGTTTGAGGCTGAAATGGGTCTGGGGGCTGTTTCAGCCTGAAATGGATCTGGGGATATTTTAGGATAAAATGGGTCCGGGGGAGCAGAGAGGGAGAGCAGGCTGCAATGGGTCTGGGGGCTGTTTGAGGCTGAAATGGATCTGGGTGTATTTTAGGATAAAATGGGTCCAGGGGAGCAGAGGGGGTGAGCAGGCTGAAATGGGTCTGGGGGGGGTTTCAGCCTGCAGTGGGTCTGGGGGCTTGCCCGGCCTGCCCCGCTCTGAGGCTCGCCGCTCTCTCCCCAGGAGGGCTTTGTGGACTTTTTCCGCCTGGAGGACCTGGAGGGCAGCATCCGGAACGTTCTGATGGCCTTCGCGGGCGTGGCCGGCCTGGGCGCCAGCCTGGCCTACATGATCCGGTGAGCCCGGCCTGCCCGCGCCCCAGGGTCACACTCTGGGGGGACTGGCTCCCCGGGACCCCCAAGAACCAGACTTTGGGGGGACTGGCTCCCCAGGACCCCCAAGAACGAGATTTTGGGGGGACTGGCTCCCCAGGACCCCCAAGAACCAGACTTTGCGGGGACTGGCTCCCTGGGGCTGCCCGGGATCCGACTTTGGAAGGACTGGCTACTCCCAAGAACCAGACTTTGGGGGGACTGGCTCCCCGGGACCCCCAAGAACCAGACTTTGGAAGGACTGGCTACTCCCAAGAACCAGACTTTGGGGGGACTGGCTCCCCGGGACCCCCAAGAACCAGACTTTGGGAGGACTGGCTCCCCGGCACTCCCAGGATCACATTTTGGAAGGACTGGCTCTTTGGGGATGCCCAAGATCACATTTCTGGAGGACTGGCTACTCCCAAGAACCAAATTTTTGGAGGACTGGCTCCTTGGCACTCCCAGGAACAGATTTTGGAAGGACTGGCTCCCTGGGGCTGCCCAGGATCAGATTTTGGAAGAACTGACTCCTTGGGGATGCCCACAACCAGATTTTGGAAGAACTGCCTTCCTGGGGCTGCCTGGGATCAGATTTTGGAAGGACTGTCTCCCTGGGGCTGCCCACCACCAGACTTTGGGAGGACTGGCTCCTTGGGCATGCCCAGGACCAGACTTTGGAAGGACTGGCTCCCTGGGATCAGATTTTGGAAGAACTGCCTTCCTGGGGCTGCCTGGGATCACATTTTGGAAGGACTGGCTCCCTGGAGCTGCCCACCACCAGACTTTGGAAGGTCTGGCTCCCTGGGGCTGCCCGGAATCAGATTTTGGAGGACTGGCTACTCCCAAGAACCAGATTTTGGAAGGACTGGCTCCCTGGAGCTGCCCACCACGAGATTTTTGGAGGACTGGCTCTTTGGGGCTGCCCACCATCAGATTTTGGAAGGACTGTCTCCCTGGGGCTGCCCAGGATCAGATTTTGGAAGGACTGGCTACTCCCAAAACCAGATTTTGGAAGGACTGGCTACTCCCAAAAGCAGATTTTGGAAGGACTGGCTACTCCCAAAACCAGATTTTGGAGGACTGTCTCCCTGGAGCTGCCCAGGATCAGATTTTGGAAGGACTGGCTACTCCCAAAACCAGATTTTGGAGGACTGGCTCCCTGGGGCTGCCCGGGATCAGATTTTGGAAGGACTGGCTACTCCCAAAACCAGATTTTGGAAGGACTGGCTACTCCCAAAAGCAGATTTTGGAAGGACTGGCTACTCCCAAAAGCAGATTTTGGAAGGACTGGCTACTCCCAAAACCAGATTTTGGAGGACTGTCTCCCTGGAGCTGCCCAGGATCAGATTTTGGAAGGACTGGCTACTCCCAAAACCAGATTTTGGAAGGACTGGCTACTCCCAAAAGCAGATTTTGGAGGACTGTCTCCCTGGGGCTGCCCACCCCCAGGTTCTGGCTGCAGACCCCCGCAGGAGGACACGGAGCCGTCCCTGGAGCAGCCCCCGAGGAGGAGGAAGGTGATCCCGGCTGGTGGGCGCAGCATTCCTGGCTTCTGGAAGAGTTTTCCCTCTCCTCCCCTCACCCGGAGGAGCTCAGGTGGATTTTTGCTTCTGATCCCAGAGGAACCAACTCCAGCAGCTCCTGCAGGAGGAGCAGGCGTTTTCAGGCTTGTGGTTTTTGGGGTTTTTCGGTTGTTTTTTTTTTTTTTTTTTTTTTTTTAATTTTTTTTTTTTTTTCCTGGAAATAGCACCTTCAGCTGCTGCTGCTCTGCCTAAACTTCTGCTCTGGAGCAGAAGCTGGGGATGCTGTGCCAGCCTCACCTGCTGCCAGGTGCTGCCCAGCCCCTTCCCTCCCCTGGGGGCTTCACAAAAATCACTTTTTTTGGCCCCAAACAGCTGGTGTTTTTTGTTTTTTTTTTTTTTTTTTTTTTTTTTTTAATTATTATTATTTTTTCCTGGAAATAGCACCTTCAGCTGCTGCTGCTCTGCCTAAACTTCTGCTCTGGAGCAGAAGCTGGGGATGCTGTGCCAGCCTCACCTGCTGCCAGGTGCTGCCCAGCCCCTTCCCTCCCCTGGGGGCTTCACAAAAATCACTTTTTTTGGCCCCAAACAGCCTTGGCTGCGCGCAGACACTTCAGAAACAACAACTGCGTTTTGTAATTATGTATAAAACCCCCGGTGGGCGGGGGAGAGGGCGTGGGGAAGCTGTAAATGTCTGTAAATCTGTGGAATATATACATTTTTGCAGAGCTGGAGATACAAAAAGGAGGAATTCCCTCTGGCTGTGGCTTCGTTCCTGGTGGGAAGCAGAATTCCTGTGGCTCCAGCCTTCCCTGGGGCGGCAGTGGCCACAGCTGATGTTTCTGTTGGGTTTTAAATCTTTTTTTTTTTATTTTATTTTAATTTTTTGGTCCCTTTTGGCGGGGGTGGGGGAGCTGGGGAAGTTCATTCTGGCTGCTTCCTCCTCCTCCTCCTCCTCCAAGCCGTGAGCCACGCAGAGTAAAGAATGTAAAATTCACTTTACACCCGAAAAATGTCAAATTTCTGCTTTCTGGGGCCGCTCCCTCAAGGTGACTTCGATGCTCAGGCCAGCTGTGGTTCCATTAATAAATGTCTTTTTTTTTTATTTTTTATTTATTCTTCCTCATTCCTCACTTCCCAAACTCCTTTTCACCCACTCCCCCCCGGCCGGGGGGCTCTTGTGCTTTTTAAATTTCGTTTTTTCTCCCTCTTTTGGGGGGTCCCTGAACGCCCCTGCGCCAGAAATTCCCACCCCTGCAGGATTGGGGTGGGTGGCAGAGGCAAAACCCTGCCCCAAAATCATCTGGAAATGCAAAATGCTGCCCCAAAATGCTCTGTAAAGGCAAAACCCTGCCCCAAAATCCTGTGGAAATGCAAAATCCTGCCCCAAAATCCTGTGGAAATGCAAAATCCTGTCCCAAAATGCTCTGAAAAGGCAAAATCCTGCCCCAAAATCTGCTGGAAATGCAAAATCCTGCCCCAAAATCTGCTGGAAATGCAAAATCCTGCCCCAAAATCCTCTGAAAAGGCAAAATCCCACCCCAAAATCATCTGGAAATGGAAAATCCCACCCCAAAATCCTCTGGAAATGCAAAACCCTGCCCCAAAATCTGCTGAAAATGCCAATTTCCCCCCAAAATCCACATCTGGCCAGCCCGCCCGAGGCCCTGCTCCCCAGACTCAGCCCGGTGTTGCTTTTCTGCCTTTTTTGGGGTGGTTTTTGTTTTGTTTCGTTCTGTTTTTCCGGTTTTTGGGTGGTTTTTGGGGTTTTTTTTCGCCGCTGTGACTTTGGGGATATTTTGGGCCTGCTCGGGCCTCGGGGCGGGGGTTGCCATGGAAACATGCAAAGGGAGGGTGGGGGGATTTGGGGTGGGGTGCAGGGGGAGCTCAGGGTTGGGGGTTTAGGGTGTCTCAGGGATTTTGGGGTGGCTCAGAGGGTTTGGGGTGTCTCAGGGGTTTTTTTTTGGGGTTCAGGGGGAGCTCAGGGTGGGGGGGAATCCCAGGATTTGGGGTGTTGGTGGCCCCTAAATTTGGGTGTGGGTGGTTGGGAGGGGTTGGGGTGCAGGTGGAAGTTGGGGTGCTGCTGGCTCCCTGGGGATGGGGTGGGGCAAGTTGGGGTGCGGAGTGGGGACCTTGGGTGGGGAGGAATTGGGGTGCAGGGGCCTGCAGCAGTTTCGGGGTTCCTGTAGCAGTTTTGGGGTGCAGGTTTTTACAGCAGTTTTGGGGTTCCTGTAGCAGTTTTGGGGTGGTTCCTGTAGCAGTTTCAGGGTTCCTGCAGCAGTTTCGGGGTGCCAGCAGCAGTTTCGGGGTTCCTGTAGCAGTTTTGGGGTGGGTTTTGTAGCAGTTTTGGGGTGCAGGTTCCTGCAGCAGTTTGGGGTTTCTGCAGCAGTTTTGGGGTGGGTTTTGTAGCACTTTTGGGGTGGTTCCTGCAGCAGTTTCGGGGTTCCTGCAGCAGTTTTGGGGTGCAGGTTCCTGCAGCAGTTTTGGGTTGCAGGTTCCTGTAGCAGTTTCGGGGTTCCTGTAGCAGTTTTGGGGTGGGTTTTGTAGCAGTTTGGGGTTTCTGCAGCAGTTTTGGGGTGCAGGTTCCTGCAGCAGTTTCGGGGTTCCTGCAGCAGTTCGGGGTTCCTGCAGCACTTTTGGGGTCCCTGTAGCAGTTTTGGGGTGGGTTTTGCAGCAGTTTTGGGGTGCAGGTTCCTGCAGCAGTTCGGGGTTCCTGCAGCAGTTTCGGGGTGCAGGTTCCTGCAGCACTTTCGGGGTGCAGTTTCGGGCGCCGTTTCCCGTTCCCCGCTCCCCCCGCCGTTCCCCCCCCGTTTCTCAGAAGCCGCCGCCGCTTCCCCGAAGCGGCCGCAAACAAACACCGGCCGGGGGAGGGGAAAAAAGGCTTTAAAGGCCAAAAACGCGAGGGCAGCTGCGGGAAAAGGGGGTGCGGGCCCCCCCCGGGGTGGGGGGATTTTGGGGAAGCAGCTCCGAGGAGGGGTTCATGCAAATGGGCAAAATCCCCCCCAAAAAAATACAAAAATTCGGGGTTTTTTTGGGGTTTCTGTCACGCTCCAGGTGTGGGGTTTTCCCCTGGGGGGCTCCGGGATGTTGGGGGGCAGAAATTTAATTTTTTTGTCACTGCACTTTCCCCCCTTTATAGGGCAAGGGGGGTCCTTGGGGAGAATTTGGGGGGATCACACCTAAAGTCAGAGATGTTTTTTTGGGGAGAGGGGCTGCCTGGAGCGCCCCACCCCCCAAATCGCTGCCCTTTTCCCCCCATTTTTAGGGCGGGGGGCGTCCCCCCTAAATTCCCAGGGTCTCCCCAAAGACCCCCCCCCTCAATCCCTGCCCTTTTCCCCCCCGTTTTTGGGCAAGGGGGGGTCCTTGGGGAGACCCTGGGAATTTGGGGGGACCCCCACCTTAAGTCAGAGCTGTTTTATGGGGAGAGGGGCTGCCTGGAGCCCCCCCCCCGTGGGGTTTTTGGGGTGCGGGGACCCCCCCAGCCCGCCGGGATTGTCCCTGCGGGCGGAGGAAGCGGGGGCGGGGTGACTCATTTGGGCTGAGATGACGAAGATTTGGGGAATTTGGGGAATTTGGGGCTGCCTCCTCAGGAGTGGGGGCTGGGGTCCCATCCTGACCCCCTCCCCAGCCGGGGGGGGTTGTTCCCCCCCTGTTCCTTTTCCAGGAATTCGGGTGCCCCAAATTCCCTTTCCTTCCTCCCGAGCCTGGCATTGGGCACTGGGCTCCTCCTCCTCTTCCTCCTCCTCCTCCTCCTCCTCTTCTTTTTCTTCTTCTTTTTCTTCTTTTTCTTTTCTTCTTTTTCTTCTCCTCCTTCTCTTCTTCTTCCTCCTCCTCCTCCTTTTCTCCTCTTCCTCCTCCTCCTCTTCCTCCTCTCTTCCTTTTCCTCCTTTTCTGCTTCTCTTCCTCCTCCTCTTCCTCTTATTTTTCTTCTTTTTCTTCTCCTCTTCCTCCTCCTCTCCCGGACTCCCAGCTCCCCCTGGCCCGAGGGTTCTGGGGGGCATTTTTCTTCTTTTGCTTCTTTTTCTTCTCCTCTTCCTCCTCCTCTCCCGGACTCCCAGCTCCCCCTGGCCCGAGGGTTCTGGGGGGCACAGGGGGTGTTTGGGGAGATTTGGGGGCATTTTGGGGTTCTGGGGGCACAGGGGCTGTTTGGGGGGATTTAGGGTTTATGGGGGGGCACAGG